TAAAATAAAATTACTAGTATATATTTAAGGAGTAACGCCTAACAATAAAAAGGAACATAATTTTACTTTAAAAAAGAAAAAATTCAATCCCTGGTTCTGCCAAAATAAATAAAAAGAAAAGAAACTGGCCAGCAAAACAAACCTAAGCATTTCTTTTAAAAAAAAAGGGGGGGGGCAGGGAGATGACTCAGTGGGGAATATGCGCTTCCCTGGCAAGCGCAAGGGCCTGAGTTCAATCCCCGATTCAAAAAAAAAAAAAAAAAAAAAAGCAAGCTAGTTTCATAGGTTTTTGCCCCAGACCACTTAACTGCATAAAACAGGTATCATTTAAAACATTTAGCACGTGAATCTCTACCTTAATGAAGTAAATGAAAACCTAATACCAACTCTACCCTTTCCTCAATAAACCTTTTAAAACCTGCTTGTTGTTCTTCCCTAGCTTAGCCTGGCTCACACTAAGCTGATGACCCTAAGAGCTTTACTCCCAAGGTGCACAGGCCCAAGCCCCTTCAGTGGCCACCACCCAGGCCCCAGGGCTGGTTCAGTGTACAAACACCGACTAACCCAGACAGTGCCAGGGGCACCGGTGGGCACTGCAAGCACCTGGCCGTTACACCTCTCCTGCCCAGAAGTGCTTTGCCAAAGAACACAGCTGCCATCCACAGTGGTTAGAATATCCCCAGCTGCTTTGGGGACACAGGTTTCTGGCCCTCAGTCCAAGTGCTTCTGAGCACAGGCCAGAACTGGGGGTCAGTGGACAGCAGAAGAGTATGGGAGCGAGAAGGCCGGGGTTCAAGAACCGGGGTCTCCCGCGTGTATAATGGAACAGCTGGAAAGCATCCGGGATCTCCTACCTCTTCAGAACCATCTCATGGGGCTGCTGATACCATTCAAGGCCATGGCTGTGTGCTCTGGACAATGACTTGGCTTTTAAAGGGAAAGGGGATAGACGTGGGCTGGGTCCATGTTTTAAGGTCACCGAAGTCTCTTGTAGTTAAACTTCTTCCTTGATTTAGCTAGGAGGCTTCTGTCTGTCTTTGCTACACCGCGATAGTGAAATCCTAGGATCAACAAGTCTCGACTTCCCTGACTGTTCTCAGGAAAGCTTTTCCAAGAAGCATCCCGAGAACCAGAGTCTTTCAGAATATGTTTTCCTTTCCCGTTTAATTATCAAAAGGGTATCCAAAATGCCTTTTAAGAGTCTGAGAAAAGTGATTAAGAAGACAAGGAAGTACTGTATTTTACTTCTAACACATGTGTAATTACTGAATTTTGGGATTATGTCAAATTATCACCTAGCTCTTTCCCTTGTTTTGGTAAATAGGTCTGGTTTTGCAAGTTTTTCTCTGAGAAGTGTCACTGCCTCCAACTCTTCAACTCAAGATTTTCTGTCATTCACAGTTTTTACAAAGGAAGTACAAACTGAAAAAGAAAAAAAAAATGCTGAGATTGGAGGTAAAAAAAAAAAAAAATCAAGACCAAAATCTCACAGGCAATTGACTCAGACTCCTAGGAGAGCTGATTTAATTACACAGTAGCTAAAACACTGCAGGGTGGGGGGGAGTTTGCAGTGATTTTCTCATATACTCAAGTATCAGGAAAGCTATTTAAAATAGAAAGGCAAATTCAAATGGTAGTGCTTGAATGTTTGAATTTCAGGCAGTGGATTCAGTGAGAACAGATTAATCCCTACCTTATCATCCACTCAATATTTAATCCGATCAAGGAGTCAACCAGCCTGAGATTACATTGACAGTCTGCCCCTTTGTATTGCTTCAAACATCTTTGCTGTTTTCCTACATTCCGGCCTTCTTCCAAAGGTGCCACTTGAGCAAGTTTTAACAGCTCTCAAATATTTGGAGAAGGCTTTCCAAGTGATTGGAAAGGCTGGGATAGGAAGTGGACACAGCAAGGCTCTCCCAAGAAGGGGGCAGGCTCACAACCGATGACAGACGAGCACCACTTTTTCAATGCTGTTTTGGCCCACCTAATTCCAAAATCATAGACAGTACTGTATTTGATTTACACTTTAAGATGTTCGTACTTTCTTAGTTGTCTTAGGAAAAATGGCTTCATGGAGAGTAACTGACACTTTTTAAAATTCACCCATTTGAAATGCACGATCCAGTGGTGTTCAGTACATAGAACAATGCAACCAATCCCTGCCAACTGGTTATAGAGCATTCATTGCTCCAGAAAGAAACCCTGGGCCCGTAAGCAGTCATTCCCCACTATTCTTAATCCTCCAACCATTTCAACTATGATCCCGTGTAACTCTATGGATTTGCCTGCTCTGGATACTGCACATAAATAGGACCTTTTACTACATCATCCTCTGTGACCAGTTCTAGTCACTTAGCATAGTTTCAAGATTCACCCCTAGAGCAGCAAGACCCTCATTCCTTTTTTACTGCCAAATAACATTCCACTGTATGATTATATCACTTTTGTCTGGTCATTCCTCAGTTGAAGGACACTGAGTTTATTAACTTCCCATTACTTTAGTGGCTGCAAACGGAAAGCAGCTGAAAAATGTCAGACTAGACTATCAACAAGAGGGCCAGGCAGAGAGCTCAGTGGCCTAAGTGCTTGCCTGGCAAGCACAAGGTCCCAAATTTGAGTCCTGGTACCACACACATACGCGCGTGCACTCGCTCGCTCTCTCTCTCTCTCTCTCTCTCGTTCGCTCGCTCTCTCTTACTATCAGGGGCAATTT